GAATGTCCAGCAGTCTGCAGACAGGAAAATGTCTGAGCTGCTTTCCACTGGCAGGGCCTCACGCCGCCACTGGCAGGGCCCCACGGCGCAGCTGGCAGGAGGCCCCACGGTGAAGTTGCTGCTGCTGTTGGTCTGGTCTTTCAGAGGAACGGCGAGGAGCCAACCGCTGGTACTGACGCCAAGTGGGTCAGCCATGATCCCAGCCAGAGGGAGGCAGAGAGCACAGGAGAATGGAAGGAGGATTAGAGGCAAAATGAGGTGACTTCTAAAGATGTCAAAAGTGTTCATTAAAACAGATTTGCTGGAAATTACAAAGAAAATCTGGGTCTGTTTGTGCAGGTGAGAGATGGATTCACCTCCATGAGCATATGGACCAGCACACTCCAAAACAGAATCGGAAACATGTTTCCCGAACATTTCCCCCATTTCCTGCCATTGGTCGGTCAAAGAGATAGTCCCGCTCCAATCTCACACCATTGGTTGAGAATGAAGTGTTGAGCTGGTTGTGATCTCAAAAATGCCAATGATTTGATATTAGTTAGTTAATGCATTAACTAACATGAAATAACAATGAATAATATGTTTGTTTTTACAGAATTTATCAATCTTTGTAAATTTTAGTTAATAAAAATATTCATGTTTATGATAGTTCACAGTGCATTAACTAATGTTAACAACAACGACAAAAAAACAACTTTGGATCTTAAAAATGTATTAGTAAATGTGGAGCAAAAATGATGTAGAATGCTGTACATGTTTTCTGAAGGACTTCAATTTTAGAATTATAATTTTAGAAATGCATTTACATATATAATACATACATTTAGGCATTTTTTCACACTAAAATCATGTTAATTCCAGCCCGTTCTCATCCTTTAACGTCATATAGAGCGCTATATGACAAAACGGCGCTATACTACGCACATGGCACCCGTTATCGTTAATATAACACGCGAACCCAAGACGTTATAAATCCTTTAGCGTGAATATGACACGTACACCCTACCCCACACCTAAACTTAGCCCTCACAGCACGTGTTATATTAACGATAACGGGTGCCTTTAGCGTAGTATAGCGCCGTTTTGTCATATAGCGCTCTATATGACGTTAAAGGATGAGAATGCGTTGGTTAATTCCTATATCTTATTATCTTATTATATTATCAGCATATACTTTTGAAAATAGTGAGTATTTTAATGTTTACGGATTGTCACAGTTCCCTTTTAAAAATAGGAAATATCTTCGCAACCAATTAAAATAAGTCTGCTTAAATAGATATAAAACCTAGCAGAAAATGAAAACTGAAAATATAAAAATCAAAGATACTTTAATAGTAGTATATAACATTATACATTGTGTAATTCAGGTTAAAGGCCTCACGTGTGTACCTGTTTGCTTCTGTATATTGTTATAGCCAAGGTCACGTGAGCCTCTCCCAGTCTAAAGGCGGCTGATTGTGTCCACAGGTCAAACACAGAAAAACATCCTATTTCCTCGCCCTTGCTCACCTGTTACGCCTGAATGACACACAAAAACTGCACAATCATGCAAATACATAAACAATAGGCATCAAGGGGAGCCGAATAATCCACTAATCATTTATAACTGCCATATTTAAGACATCAAAAACCAAAGCAAAATAATGATTGATACACACACACACACAAAAACAACTAGCGAAATTTGTCAGCACATCATAAAGTTTTACAAGCAAGCACCAGATTTACAGTTGTAATCTATTATGTTTTCCTCTGACTTTTCTCAGAATCAACTATAATATAACTATGGTATGTGTACACACACACATTATAACATCCTTTTTAAACACACACAAGATTTGAAAGGAAAGAAAACTGCTTGATTGAGCTACTAGTTTTTTTTCATGTTATTAATAATAAAACATTCACTAGCTGAATCTAGCAGTTGTATCTCCAGTCAAATCTTCAGAAATAGACTTTTCTCAAAAAAAAAGCGACCTAGTTTCGGAAAATGGCTCCTCAAATGAACACAATTTCAGTATTTCAGATAAATATGAACGCAAAAGCACAGGCAAAAGCATTCCTCATTTAAAAGTTGCTTTGAATAAGAGCATCAACTAAATTAATCAAACGTTAAGTACTTCAATTAAAATGTGTAATTAAATGATTAATAATTAAATTGTGCAAAAAGAGCAAAAGAATGTTAAATGCAAGTGAATATCTTAACTAATTGACATTTCAAAGAAAAAACTTAGGGATCCAAGACTACTGTGCTTGATTAAAATTTTGTTTATCCATGTTTTTCCAAAACCAAAAAAAAAACATGTCGGTCTCCTGCTAAAGAGCTCTAAAATACCCTATTTTATTCATTACATGCTAGGAAGTACAAACAGAGAACAAAATGACAAAAATAAGACAGTGAACCACTTGAATCTGAGCATTTACTCATACTGTACAGCTTATACTTTCAGACCTTAAAGGTATAGTTCACCCAAAAATGAAAATTCGGTCATCATTTACTCACCCTTAAGTTGTTCCAAACTTGTATAAATATTTTTCTTCTGCTGAACACAAAAGAAGACATTTTGAAGACATGTCAGGAACCCCATTGACTTCCAAAGTATTTTTTCAGAAGAAAAGAAATTCACACAGGTTTGGAACAAATTGAGGGTAAGTAAATGATGACCGAATCTTCATTTTTGGGTGAACTATCCCGCAACTTCCAGTCGGACGTGGACTAACTGGACGACAAAAATGTTACTCCACATTTTCCAAAAAATGTAATTGAACCGTCTAAAATGTCAACACACAAGATTCTCTATGTTTGGCCATTAATTGATGCAGTCGCAATGGTACGTTTCTGAATACACTTTAACCAGGTACATTGTTGTTGTATTCACATAATTTATACTATTTTGAAAATCAGAAAAGGTAATGAACAACATTTCCTGACCTGAAGACATGCACATTTAGGGGCAGAGAATGTGTTTTTTCGTTTAATTAATAAAAAAGGTTGTGTGAACTGGTTCTAAAGGAATGTGATAAGCTCTTATTGTCCCCAAATGCCCCATTTTATTTATTTATTTATTTATTTTCTATATACAGTCATCTTTTAGCTATTAATTCAATTGTTAGGTGAAAAAAATCTTTTGTGCATTTAATTACCAAATATTTAGGAATATTTGCCAAATCTTCAAAATTTCTCATCAGTTTCCTGATAAAAATGAAGGGAACATACAGTAAAAAGCTTTTGTTTTCACACACAGTGGTCACAATCGTTCAGAGAACCATTAGCATACTGTATACCCAACCCAGGCTACACTTACATGATGTGTAAATATCCTGCAGGTCTTTAGTGGCCAAATTAACATACAGTTGACAGGCTTGCCAAAGACAAGAAGGGCTGTTGTCAGCAAAGCCATGCCATCCTTAGAGCTAAAATACAGAGTTGTGGCTTTAAAAACGACACGCTGCATTTTTATGGAGGTCAGGAGATTTCTGCCGAGTCATACGGCCTCTCCAATTCCTCACTTTTCCCTAGTGCACAATCACCCCTTTTCCTGAGGGAAAAACACAGAAATGAGTGTGACGTGAGGTGGGCTGAAGCCTAGACACTGAGATCACGGGAAACTGTGTGTGTATGTGGGATCTCCAGGGAAGTGTTTTTTTTTTTTTTCTCAGTTACAAATCCCAAATCACAGCACTGTAGCCTGCAGCAGCCACATCTATCCACATGAACATACAGAACCAGGGCTTAATGCAATACACATCACTTACAAATGCAAGCATGGCACATTCATGCAAATTACACTGCAGGTAAGAAAAAAAAACAGTCTGCACGAACCAGCTGTGCGAAATTTGAATAATAATGAGAAAAGCATTCCCACTGCAGCAGCACTGGGATGTAACTGGACCTTTACGATGTTTCCTTGTAAAGCATGTTGCTGAATTAAGTTTGTTAACCACAATGATTTCAGTTCTTTCATGAAGTTTGTCATGTAGCCAAGTTTGGTCTTTTTGACTGGTACACTCCAAAAAAATACATTTCAGCTATATGTTCAATTTAACTTCTTAAAATGTTCAAGAATTATTGCATTCGTCAATTTTGTCACAGTTTTTAAGTTTATTGTGTGCAATCAATTAAAATTTGTACAATGGATGCAAACAGATACGTGTTTGCATTTGGACAATTATATATTGGCTGTAACCAAATATTATTTTTAAACGTAACATCATCCTGTGCACTGAAGTTCACACTAAACAAATGCTTTATACAAGTATATAATATTATTATTTATTTATTCATCTATTTTATTTTTTATGCCATAGGAATATTTGGTACTATTGATTTTTCACCCCCCAAAAAAATTCATATTTTCATACAGCAAGAATGTGTTTAATTGGTCAAATGTGATGGTAAAGACTTCAAATAAATGCTGTTCTTTTTTAGCTTAAAAAGATCAAGTTTTCCACAAAAATATTTAGCAAATGTTTGCAACATACATTAGTGCTGTCGTGTCAATCTATTAAAAATAACTAGATCAATCACACATTAAAAAAAAATATTTTGCTCTTCACTTCAGTTACAGAATAGTTGCCATTCTCGTTCAAAGCCAAACTGTGTATATCTAACCAAATAATACATCCTCCTTTCAAATCAATGTTATGCTCCATCTATCTCCAGTTTCAGCCATTTGTAGTTTCATCTCTAGGGCTTGCAGGGTATCAAGCTACTAAGTGAGTCAGACCCTCAGCAATATTGGAGTGCAGTCAACATACAAACACACAGCCCGTCATATCATAATAACGAAATAAAGGTAGCACAAAATTACTAAGAGAAGCCATTGACACAGGACACATGAACCCATTCTACATACCATGGACGTGATTAGCATAGGCCAAAAACAACAATGGATCAACTACTCAATATTTATTCATCGTATAAAGTAATGTCTTTGAATTATCTTCATTTGGGGACCGTCAAACTGTTAAAAAGAATATTTCACCATTTTCCACCTTACCTTCTTTAGGTTGGAAAAGTTGCAGAAGGGCTCTTGTAGATTGTCATTGAGCGTTTTAATTCCAAACAAAGTAACTCCAATCCAATGGCAATGCCTATCCAACCCTGCAAAGGCAAAAAGAAATTGTTAAGCACCCTTTCCTTAAGGTGAGCTTACATCAGGTATATCCACTTTACCATATTCTGATATTTAGAACAACAGCAAAAAGAACAGAAGAAACTGTCTGAATGCATGTGACTTCATCCACAGCACACTCTCTGTGAGATTTTGGGTGTTTGTGCATGTTCGCTTTAAGAATATTTAAATGCGTCCTATCACAAATTGCTGACTATTATTCCGCAGCCAAATGTTAACAAACCAGGTCACGGGTTATATGTGCGGTGTGCCGCTGTGTTAGTGAACAGACCTTGCGTCTAGTTCTAAGAAAAGTTCTGCGTTCACCCGCAAGCTTCTCCACACGTCCCAGAAGTTCTGATTAGAGATGAAATCACAACTAAAACATCTGGGTCATTCTGATTCTTCACACACACAAATACAGATCATGGGGCTCCTGTTGCACTGAGAAATTGTCAAACTGTCCCTCCATGCAAACATCTTGCCTCTAAACATAAATTGAGTCCAACCCAAAAGGGAATTCTTAGCGCTGAAGAACAAGAGCTGACAACTGGCTGGTAACACTCCTTTTTCAGTTTTATCTGAATACTACAACAAAATTCGTTTGTTCTAGGGAGACGGTACCAAGGACAGACAAAAGCTGGGAGTAAATTGACCCCCCCACCCACCCACCAACACCACGGTCCCCAACAGTCTAGTGGGACATCGCAGAGCAATTATAGTATACTGTAAGTGGCCCTGGATTAAAGTGTCTGGTGACTAAATATATCAGCAAAACTGCCCTGGTCAAAACACAACTTGCCCGTTTCAAATTTGACCCATAACACAGTTTATTATTTAAAATAATGAAGACAAATAGCTGAGTCTTAGAAAGTGGTCTTTGGTTAGTTTGTTAAGGGCTCTCAATAGTCAGTTAATTACCGACTGCTGCAAAAGCAAATAACACTGATATTACTGAAACCAGGAGTAATAAGCAAAAACTTTTTCTTTATCAGTACACCTAGGAATTTACCAGGTTTACACTATTAGTACTTTGGGGATTAAATAATCACTAGATTTGCCAGATTACCAAATTTGTGGCATCAAAACTTTGTTTGAAGCACTTACTAACAAGTTAACTAGTTGCACGATTTGGTGCAAAAATCTAATTGTGATTTTTCTGATATAAAATTTTTGCGATTAAAATTATTGTGTTTTGGGTGCTTTAAAACGCTCCACCACCGCGTTCCCGTGTAAAGGGTAAAAACGCAAAAGTCTGCTTGACAGTGAAGGTTGTAAGCAGGCGCACAGGCTTGGTGTTGTTGTAGTATGCACTCTTAGCCGCCTGGAGTGCATACTACATTGAATTTCACAGACTTTTGCGTCATCATCTGCATGCGGATTTCATACCCAAAACGCTCGTCTAAATGCAGAATAAAAAGTGATAACGCAACGCCACTTTTGCGTTTTCTCTTCAGAATCGTTTCCGTGTAAACATAGTTGAGTTGTAAACAACAAAATGAGATTTAAAAACAAAAAAGCTCTAGGTTTGCTGGGCTGCAAAAATTTGGACGATTATGTTTTAATAGCTAAGACTATCACAACTATATAATAATAATAATAATAATTAATACAATTAACCTATGGCTAAACCACGCCCCCAAACGCGATGAGCTAATCACAGTGCGCATAGCTAACCCAATATACTCGGACATTCTCTGGTTCCACCTCCATTGGAATGCATTGCAGTTAGTCAGTTTTCTTTTGTTTTTATGTTTTTTTCTTGTCATTTTAAGTTTAAAACGGTGTGCATGGGGTACATGCTACTCCGACACTAGGTATCCTGAGAGGCTGGGCGACTGTGATTTTTCCCAAGCCACATCTCAACCGAGATAACTGTCTGCTCTGGATTAAGTAATGCGATTAAGCTATGCAGTAGACCACAACACAAACAAGGATGTCTACATCTGTTCTAAGTTAAGTCAACAACGTATTGAACGTTATCTTTAACATGACTAATGTAACGTTAGCCTTACAAAACTTCAACATTAGCTTCTAGCTGCGTTGTACATCATGTCACTTAGCTTCATTAACGTATCTGTAAATAACCTAGATAACTAAATATTAACAATGTTGTGCTGAATGATTCATGTTAACCAAACAGAGATGGCAACGATATGCGGTTTATCACGTTTACACTGTGACCTATAAATTCTTGCCTGGAACTGAAGCTTTTCGTCAACCTTCTCAACAATAAAATTATTAATATAACCCTCCAAGGTTACTAGGACTTCAAGATGATATATAATCTTTCTGTCTCCAAAAATCATCAATTGCCTCCTGTGAAATGTCTCCTAACTGTGACAGCTGCCTGTCCCCCGAATGTTGACTGAGTGAGTGGAGGGGGCGTGGCTTAGCCATAGGTCAATTAAATTAGAAAGTTTATTATTGCAATATTTCACTACAAAATAATAAATATAATAATACTAATACTTTACAGTGCTACTGTAAAATAAAATATGTATGGCTATCTTAATTTCTTACAAATTCTTCAAACATTAAACCATCCAACTTTTATTTTGGTGGAAAACAGCAGGTGGCCATTAAATGTGTTACAAAGCTCAAAGTCCACTCCAAAGGGAGATATTTTATTTAACAGAATCCACTATCCAGAAACTACAACAAACGACTTGTTTGGACTACAACACGATTTTTCCGGATCTTATGAAGTCACAATGGTACTCATTTAAATAATCCCTGCCCATAGAATAAGCAAAAAAGGGGGACAAGACCTGGTTGAGCTGCATTAGAGTGGCTATGTCAAAGAGACACTGCTTTTCCAAAACCCATTTGTTTCCAAAGACTGACAAACTTAGAGTGGTTAGAACTTATTTAAAACACTGTTTCTGAACATTATAACCCCACCATTTATCTGTGCACTTCACTTTTAATGGAGAACAGCTTGTTTTCTGTTGCTTTTGTAAGCTCTCGCTTTTGTAAGACGGCTCACTGCTCCTTAGGAAAATTGGCCATGTTTTTTTTTTCCCCGGAGTTTTCCGACAAATATCATGATTAAATGGAGGATAACATCATATCTATAATGTATGAGAAAATTACAAAAAACATCCCACTCTGAAACGTCCTGTGAAATCAGTGATTGCAAAGTCCGTGCATGAATTCTGTTCTGGACGATCCTCTTGTTCGTTAACATTGTCAGGGTCTGAATAGGGCTTTAATTGGTTTGAAATTGACACCATCCTCAATATTTAATTATAATACACTAGAGAAGAACTTGTAGGGCAGGACATTTCCCAAACACAGGATTTCGTCCTTCAGGAATTTATTGGATAGCAGTAAGTTGGGTGTTGCTAACTATGGAGGTAGATCTAAATGCCAGTTTGCAGTCAGTTCAGTTGTGGCGGATATGTAGTCCCACCCTCTGCGAGACACGTCATTAAGAGAACAAAATTGAGGTGGAGGGGAGGTTAACTTTTTTAATTAAGCATTTTGAGTTCATCAAAAACAGGCACCGACCAATGGCAACTGACACAGGCAAAAGTAACACTCTGATCCAACAAACATTGCCATTGGCCGGCATCGATGCAGTGTGAATTAGCCTTTAAAGTTTCTCTTTTGTTGACAATAGTTCTCATTACAATAATGGAAAGAAGGTTGGAACATGTTTTGTTCCGAATCCAATTATAAGCGACCCAAACTCAGAGCAGATGCAGAGATGATTTTGCCTGGAGCAGCATGTACTGCACACACAGACACACTAAAAACACCAGATAATAACTGCTGCTATTATTTACTTTTTTTTTTCCATGCTCATCAATTATTGTGGTACAATCTATTATAGAAGCCCCCCCATGTTAAAAAAATAACTGTTTGTTTGAATTTTAAAGTTGGCATTTCTTGAACAGAAAATAATGGCCTTTTGCCATTTAGTCATAATTAGTGAATATCTAGCAACCACTCACAATACAGTACCTCAGAAACCACCAAGCAACACTGTAACAATAAGATGTATGGCCTAGGAAACCTCTGTGAACACATTAGCAATAGCTTAGCAACTACTGTGAAAGCAGTCAATAAAATATTTTAAAGCTATTCACTAGGGCCTTAAGAAACAACGAGACATTCATTTTTGTAAAGCTGCTTTAAAAGTTCTAGCCTATTTCGAAAAGCAACATACAAATTAAACCAATTTTGACTGAAAATGTAAACATCTAGGCAACTTATATAATAGCCTATATTTTTAAGTGAATTTTGAATTAAAGACTTTGCTAATAGTAAGAACACTGCAAAGGACCTAGGTGGTTTAACTCATGTTTACACTCACACAGCAATTAAGCTTCACATCAACAGGGAAGTAACTCACAATTCATTTTCACCTCATGAATTCCTAACATCAATATGTGTGAAAGCTAAATGCTTGTATATTCCCATAATTAAAAAAATATATATATATTTTTGTCTTCAAATAACAAAAAGCCAAACCCTAGCTGGGAAACCAACAATGGATAAAAACATGACTTATATTTCTCTGCAATATGCCATTTTTGATTTACAAGTGTATAGGCTGTGTGTGATGGACACTTGCCAACTGGTTTACAACATTCAACTCCATGCAACTGATCATTCAAACAACTGCTCGGGGAACCAAAAAAGCAGTCATACATCAAATTTAGAGTGGCAAGGTATATTGCTTTATTAAGCCATTACCATGATGGTAATTCAAATGTAAACAAGAAATAAAATTAAAAGGAAGAAATCATTGTGAAGACTGTTTTTAAATCTTCGCAGTTGTTTTATAAAGCTAAAGTTTAAGGTGCTAAGTGGCAACTGAATCAAACTGAAGTTTAAACTAGGCTATCCCTTGTGTGCACTGGCTAGTTAAATAGACATTCCCGCCTTAAATTCACACCAATGGTGGAGTAAAATTGCCTTTCTGGCCACTTAAACTACAGTTCTATTTGTGAATGATTCATCTTTTATGCATACGTTTTAT